TAAGATGATGACATATTGCCTGTCTCTAGGATCCATTAAATTTAAATATGTTTCTTAAATGCATGAAAGTATCTGTCAACCAGCGGAAATTTCGAATCTTCTTTTTTTCACTACGATTCTAACATGCCGAGCCTGCTTTGCTCAAACGACAACAACAATAACAGCAACACCTTTTTGGGAGGCAGATGTCACGCAAAATGAAACATGATTGAAGCCAGAACCAACTATCGCCCAGGTCTTCGAATCAATATCGAAAGCGGTCTGTCCACAGACCCTACCTTTCAATACACGTTTAAATCAACCGAACAAAAAGAATGCCAGCGCTGTTTATGCATCGACCAGTGCACTTCCGATTATTGTGATTCTTTAATCGGTTTATGAATATAATACGAAGGAAATACCTTCTGCTGTAAAGGTGTTAAATGCGAAGTAAACTTGGAGCACCTGAACTTTATGTTTGTTTTAATGAGGAAGTTCAAGATTGACTTCGACAGGGAACGTTGGTCACGTCACAGCCTTGAATCCCAAATCGACATGTTCTATGCTTTATATAATGACTATTACTGTATTTTGTTTTACACGTCGGTTAGCATGTGTTTATTCTTTTTTTTTTCCCCGGTCCACGAAATGAAAAAAAAAAAGAGGTTTGAATTCGCTTTCTCAAATATTCACGTAAGCGGCCTTACCTCGTCAACAAGCCGGTGCCCAACCACGAGTGCAAGAGGCTGTAATTGAACGATTTTGACATCGTTTTCTGACTGGTGAGAACGGTCTGAAATAATGAGGTTTCGAACTATCACGCGTGTAATTTGTAACAATTACAAATGCGCTACACACATATAATAGTAAAATAGCTTTCATGCGAATCTTAAGATGCTACCATATTTCGAGCACTTCATTCAGGCGAGTTCGTTGATGCGGTGCAAAAACTTGGAACACGAACAAAAATGTGTTGTCCGTCTTGTGTTTTCTTTTTTATGTTTAATTCTTTAATTCTTGTATGCTATTTTTTCTCAATAAAATTGAAGCCTACCTTTTCAACAAAAAAATATATATATGGTTTGTTTCTTACTTACCTCGATAAGTTCTGGTTTAAATATCATCACATGCAGTTGGTTTCCCACATAGAAGCGGTAAAAACCCTTTTTCCGGTACTGCGAACATATTCCTAAATGCGTTTCCATTGCAGCTGAAATGCAAACGAATTATGAGGTGAAAAGAAATTTTATAAATATCAAATTTCTATGTTTGGCCATATACCTCTTTAACAAAGTGTACTGCGATTGTGTACGAGTTGGGAAAATTATATACCGTAGTAGAAGGTAGGAAAGATCTTCGAACGGTTGGTCTTGGAACCATCAAATAATAGGACCAGTTGCTAATGCATGGCAATGCATATGTTAATGCACATGTTTCTTGTTTTTGTTTTTGTTTTTTTGTTGTCTTTTTTTAATTACGTGAGCGGGTAAAATTAAAAATTGCTATTTTTTGAGGACCGAGAACGAAACTTGTATCCAAAAAGAAAATGAGTCAATCACGTTAAAACTTAGGTTTTATGAAATACTTCGATGTAAAAACACTTTGGAAGACACCATTCAGTGCTCTCAGTGAAGGTAACATACTGTCTTGTCTCACTGGTTTTCTCAACCAAATCAAAAATATTTTGTTTGCATAAAATTTGGACGAATATAAATAGACGTAAATCATCCTCTTAAACGTTCTTTCTGAGATTCCCGGCGATGGACGTTTGCATTAAAGAAATGTGACTTGACTTGGTTTTCCAGTAGAAACCGATCCAATTTAAAATCATGCAATCGTTTCATTTATAACATACGATTATATGTGCTGGCGCCACGATGTCGAATAACAAAGGTCGTATGGCATTGAGCAGCCACTAGTCGTTAAAAACCTCAATTTAAAAAAAAAAAAAATAATTGCGTGTAAGTTTATGAGAGCTACTTGAAACATAAAAGACAGGTGACAATAGAACAAGGAGCCTTAACGTGGCGGTGGTGTCGGATAAATCGATCGAGGAATCAAACGTAAGACGTCCATCAAGAAGTAAGAAAAAAAACGAACGTTACCCGACGTATGGTTTCGTTTGCAAATTTGTTGTGGTCTGTTCGCTGCCTGACTCTTATACTAATGTTTCTGAAGTCCTTTTACTCCAAAGATTCACGAACGACTTGCGAAACGCTAGCAATAAATACCGTTTTAATGAATGGTCGAATCGATTGTTTGTTGATTGTTTCTGCTTTTATGGCTGTACAACCATATGGTCATTAGTAGCTGGAACACTCACACGCGTTGTACGGGACCATGTGCTTGACTCTGGCGATGCGGAAGTGTTGCCGAACAATCCAGAGCAGCGGTATGCTCCCGTCGGGACCGGGCAGAGCCTTGACGTGTTTCCATGTCGCCCGTCGCGCTGCGTGGAAGGCTCCAAGCACAGACAACAGGAGAAGGGCGGCCCCGCCAAGGAAGAGGCACCCAAAAGAAAGTAAAGCCTGAATCGCTGGCAGCATGGCGAGCGGCAAACTTCCCAACTTGGTCTCAAGAAATTACGTTTTGTTATGACTGGACGCATCCATATCTCGACGTCGATCTCTTTTAGCTCTCCTCTGTTTTGCGCAGCCCGAAACAGGTCGGTTTGGAATTTTCCTGGTCGATACGATCCGCCTGTCGCGGCCGCGGTACGTTCCAAATGAGCGACCTTGTACGAGTACACGCCACCTAACGACCTTGCGGTATTCGAGCATCTACCTTGTCGAGGTCACGTGTGCCGCATAAACATCAAATAGATGTGTTTACTGACGTCGATCGTCACTTAATTAAACCAAAAAGAAAGCAGTAAACACTTCGTTTCTTTTTTTTTTCTTTTTTTTATGAGAATAGCGTGGAACGATTTCTGTTTGTGTTTTTTTATATTTTCGTGTAAGTTTTTCCTTTTCTTTTTTGCAGAGAAATGTTTTGAGAGAAGCACGTGAGAGCTCCCCCAAGAAAAAACACTTTTACGGTACGTGTTTACGTGAATCGCTTCGACGATAGAGTTGTAGAATAGTCACAATGCTTTGGCCCAACGGTTTCGGTCCCCCAAAACGGCCTCACTTGTCGCGCTATGCTGTGCGCTACGCTTCCAAGCTGCTCGGGTGGACCCAAATCGCTGGGGGTTATTCTGAAACTCTAATGTTGGGCTCTCTGGAGTCGTAGCTTTTGCCGTTTGTCAAGTTATGTTCAATCTCAGACTCAGTATGTATGTATGAATGCACGCATGGATGGGTGGATGGATACGGCTGAACGCTTTTAATTGGGCGGCGGGTTGCTCTACCTATAGACAAAGATTTGATTAAAACAATGAACTCATCTCCGATTTGAAAAAAAAAAAAAAGGTGAGTTTAAGGCTTTTAACAGTTGTTTTCTAAACTCGGAACTAATAAAGCATGATTTCTTTTTTTAATGCGATATTGTTGTTCGGTACAATCCGCGTGACGATGGTGCCTCTTCGCGACTTGGTGCTCGCGCTTTCCGCTCTACTGATTAAAAAATATATATATATATATCAAAGCCTCTTTCTTCTTTGAGCCTCTGCCACCATTTCGATAACCTGTGCTTGGTGATCTCGGCACTCCCAACGTCTATTTTTCCTTCCACCGCCTTTAAGGACCAATGCCTTTACTAAATCAGTATTGCTTTGGGCAACCTGCAGGGGAAAGCCCTTTACAATAAAGTGTTAAGAGTTCAGCGGATATAGTTGTTATGGCGAAGGTTCAAGGACCACGTGTTCAGTGCCGCGTCGACACACGTGGCCGACACGGGCCGACACAGATGACCGGCATGTGAGCACTCGTGCGAGGGGCTCTTGACGGACGGACCGGGAGGCCGGACATGGCGGCACACCAATAAACCGGCCGTTCTTTTCTTGGTGTTCCGGCCTACATTACTTCAATAGTGGATTCACGCAGCGTCATCTGGCTTGCGTTCGCGTCGCCTCGAGCGCGTCCGTAGCTGTCAAGGTACGGGCAGAGCCCCTGGCGAGCAAAGTCGGGCATTTTTAGGTCGCATTTCGGTTATCCGTCACCACGGTTGCCCACGTTCATATGAATTTGTGAAATAAAACAAAAACAAAAATAAAAGAAGCGTTTTCTTGTTCTTGGTTTTTTTTTTAAACACAAACAGCATACTTTTTACTGGCTCATAAAAAAAAAAGGAAAAGGGGCATTTTTATATTTAAAAATACCTGATCCCCAGAACAGCTTCTTGACTATTGAGTCACCCGCCTCACCACATATTCCTAGTTTAAAAAAAATGTATTCTTTCGTTGCGGGCATCTGGCAGTATCGTAACACCCGGTCCTTACGCGGAATTGTTATAAGATGAAACATCGCGGTATATTCATCAGCCCATCTCACACGACAACGACATGCGGACGACCACACGCAAGAGAAATTAACTATACATACTATACTCCGTTTTGCGTAATGTCACGATCTAATGAAACCAATCAAGTTAGGCCAAAAGCGCAAGGGTGACGGCGTTTTTCGTGTTTTGCTGCGTGTGTTACTCCCAGCGGATTCAAACAAGTGAGAAGAATACGTCGTGTTGCGTTTGTTTCTTTTTCCCTCGAGAGCATACCCCTGTATATCTTTGTTCTCTGATTCCCATTCCTATAGCTCGCTCTCTCTTTTTAAAGAAGCATCACTGAATGGCCCGTTTACACACTGCCCCTTTACGGTGCCACTGAAAAAAAGGTGGTATTTGATTCAACTTCTCTGTTCAGTTGTACTAACGTGTACCATACCATATACTGGGAAGCGTTGATGCAGGCAACGCTTCTAAACGTATCACTGCTCTCCCACAAGACACATAATATCGTCGATAAACATCTTTTGAATATCCGCTATCAAGTAGCTAAGCGAGTCAAGGCCTATCTTGTAGCTCCATAAAAGCGTCAATTCAGTCATGAATGACGTAGGCCGCTAGCTACAGAAACTCGGACAGTCTTAGTTCTTTGTTCCTCGATGCCTCGTCAGTCTTTCACCCTTGATCGGAGAGTTCATCGATGACTCTTCAGTCGCCGGTGTTTCCGGAACATTGGAACCGCCGAATGGATCTGGAACATCCGGGATATCCGGAACGTCTGGAACGTCCGGAACGTCCGGGATGTCCGGAATGTCCCCCATACCACCGAAAGCCGGCAGGGCCGGCACGCTGGGAATGCTCGGCAGAGCCGGCAAACTCGGAATGCTCGGAAACGTCGAGAAACTCGGGAATCCGCCAACAAAACCCGGCATGCTGAAGTTGAAGTTGAAGCTGGGCATTTGGAAGGTGATCATCGTCCAGTTCATGCCGCCCGGCATGAAGCCCATGGACGGAACGCTGAAACCTGGCACCTGGAAGCCGGGAATGACCATCTGCGGAAACTGGAATCCCGGAAAGTTGAACATTGTTCCTCCGGGAGAAGACGGTGTCGGCTGCAGCATGTCTTCCTGACGTTCGGGCAGTGGGTTGGATCTCCAACGCTGTGGCGCTGCGACGATGCCTCTATGGTTGGCGACGGCGGCCATGGAGATGACCAAGAGCGATGCCGTGGAGAACGTGCGCATTGTTACGGTCTCTTGAGTGCTGCTCCGCGGGCACGATTGCTTTTTGTTCTCTCTTCTATGGTGTGCTAAGTGAACTTGGTGCCACCCTCGCTTCCTCGTTGTTGCTTCTTGAGTACGGTGCCGTGGTCACGGGTGGCGCCTGCTTTCTCTTTTATTGCGCGCAAAAAGATCGACGGGCTCCCTTCGTTTCCGTGTTGGCGGTCGTCGAAGTGTGTCACCATCAGCGCAGTTTACCTAAAGCGGGGTAGGGTTGAGAAAGTTTCGATTTTATAAGCTGCCAACTCACATTTACCATTGCTTTTCTTTTCTTTTTTTTTACATAGATACATTTGGTTGTTGTAGGTAGACAATGAAAGTGCAAGACTTCGTGGAGTCTCGCACTTCTGCTTGCACTTGCGCGAACCGTTGAGATTATTCGCTGTTGCTCTAAAGGTTGGGGGGCACGATGGAATAGAGATTTATACGCTTTGTTCTGAACACGTCAGCGACCGAGTACCAAGTTACATAGGTTAAATTGGTCATGTATGACAATCCGATTTTATTTTGGTTGAAGCCAGCGTGATTTTTTGTTTCTGACTGAACGATTCAGCCAGCCGAAGATAGCTATGACGAATGGACTTGTTAGGACGATATGGTCAAACACCACAGCGACGCAGTTAATTCGGGACACATAGTGGGTCATCCTGAGATGCAGCTTTCGTTTTGAAGACGTTTCAACTTTTAGCAATTTCGCACGAAGGCCAGGAGGACGACTTATTTTGTCCGAAGAATTCATCTTTACCTTCCCTGCCACCGGCCTGCTGACATACAAGGAGCGATGATTCTGGGAACTTCATAATTTTCCCTGGAGAACTACATATACATAGATATCACACATTAATAATTGTGACTAGTGCAGATTTTGTGATAAATAACTAGGCATAATGAACGAAAAGGAAATTTTTAATGCCAGCTCTGTTTGAAAGGTTTAGTAAACTATTCGTAAAATAATTTGTTTAAACGCGTTCTTTTTCTTCTTTTTATTAGATTACATATTAGCCGAATCTAGGCAGTGATTGGTTAACACAATAATGATTGATTGCACTCAGAAAGGTAATATTGACACATCGTGGTGATTTTAAATAATTACCGTTTTAATGAATCTTGGTTATTTAAGCACTTTACTAAGGTGGTGAACTGGGCCAATTTGTCGACGTTATGCGCATGATGGGGAAAACAGCTCAGAAAACAAACTTGGCAGTTTTCCCCATGATGTATTTGAGCACCTCATTATTCTCATCAACGCCAGGTTACTGTTTGTCTGTCAGTAAGTGATATGTCACTCCTAGGAAACTGACATTTGATAATGCAGCTTGAGCATAGTTATTCTTGGGTCTATACACGTCTCCCCCGATGAAGATGGCATCCTTTAGAGGCAATAACAGTGAACGGTTCGACATAACGTTTACGCAGAGTTGTAACTGCTAGCTGCTTTTTAGGTATGAGTTAAGGATGTAATCCAGTAATTAAGTCAGTCGAATGTATTAATTTTTTTTTCGAGTAAAAGTTTGGCCACGTCATCAGGGTCGTAGAATAAAGAATAACGCACCGATACACTGACAGAACGGTGCAAGTACCCATCGGACCGGTCTACCGTCGGTCTTGCACCTCGTGCTCACACTTTCCACGCATAGACTATCTCACGGAGAGAAGGCGGGTGATTGATTGGTCCGGCGAAAGAGAAGCCTCTACCCTCCCGCCATCGTAGCGTGACAGACATTCTAGAAAAAAGTCTGATGAGTTTGCTTTCCCAAGAACAAGGAGGGCGTCAATCACGACGAACAAATAGTAAAAAAAAAAAAAACAGCGAGTTATGAAGCTCGGAATCTACTGATCTTGAAAATGCTGCCTATTGATAACTAATCTACTGAATAGGCCTATTGCGAAATTACCCAATTATCAAGAAGAATGCAGGGAATGGTGTTCCACGCGCCGCGCGTGCCGGCGTCTGTAGCAGCATAACCTCCTCTGTACTGACAAAGCCTGGCAGATTGCCACGAGAAGCGGCCGCTGAAATTGAAAAAGTAGAGCGGCAGACAACGGATGAGAGGAGAGCCACGTGACGGGCGCCCCGCTGTGGCGAGACCAGTGTTGTACACGTTCCTAAAAAAAAGGAACGAAAGCTCGTTCCTCGTTCCTTCTGATTTTTGGAACGCGTTCCCGTTACACGTTCCTTATGTGAAAAAGGAACTCGTTCCCGTTACAGTTAAAAAAATAGAACGTATCGCTACATATACGTTACATTTCCATTTTGATGATAACCATATTTAGTTAGATAGATAAAGATTTTTTTATCTATCCCATCAAAGGGCAACATACGAATTTGAATGCCGTGATGGAAGGGCACGAGTAGAAGAAAGCATCCGAAGCAGGGTTTCCATTGTTGATATATTCACCTTTAAAATCTTTTAACCATATTCATGTTTGTGGTAGGCGAAGTCAGACGAGCAAAATATACTGGTACCCCACATTGCACGAATGTTTTACAACCTACCGGGTTTTAATCTAACAAAGTCCCTTGTTCGAACTTAACAACAGTTGCTTCTCGATATTGCTGTCCTCAAAACGATCAAGTGAAGAAGGGCGTAGGACTTCTGGAAGATCAGTCTTGAAAACTACAAGTCCTTCTTCGTGAAGGTTGGATTAGTTTTTTTCGGTCGGAAGGTGGGGGACTGGGGAAAAAGGTTTAAAGGTTAATTTTTTGTGTACCTTCTAAGTGACCAATGTTCGGGATACATGGGTGCGTTCGATGTCTAGTAACATGTTCCTTTGTTGTAACTCTAGGTCTCTGTGACAGTTCGATGATGGCTATAGTCGGTCTTATATTTCTAGGTGTATGAGGATTAGTGGAAGCACAGAAATTAACCGAGTTTGACACGTCCCTCTTTCTGTGTCTTTTCGTTTGACTGAAAGTTTTGCTTTTTGTACCGAAGTCTCAGACACTGAAAAAAGAAAGATCGTCTACTAGCTTTACTGCACCATGCAGACTGTTACTAAACGTGGATCACACAAAATACACCCTAAGATAATTAACCTAGAAGTTAACGAGATTCTGCTCTTCGTAGAGATAATGTTTTTATACTTTTAGAATTTCCCGCTTGGCAATTAAAAAAAAATGCCCCACTGGACGAGAAAAGGAACGCCGTTCCTTTTTCCGTTCCAGTAAAAATGTTGAGTTCCCCGTTCCAGTTCCACCTATGCAGAATGGAACGTCGGCGTTCCTCCGTTCCTCCTGAAAGGAACGCGTTCCAGGAACGTCGTTCCTTGGAACGCCGTTCCGTACAACACTGGGCGAGACACCGAAGCAGACTTCTCCCGAGCGATGGAATGTCCGCTCGTGCTCCTCGCGTTCCTCGCGCTACCACTTCTTTTCTCGTCCGGTTTGAAAACCATGTTTCGGGTACTCGCCGCTGCAAAAGCTGTGCGCTGACTACAAACCCCCCAAGAAATGCTCTGTGCTACCAAATCCTCGAGCTCCAAACCTGTGACCGGGCACCCTCTGGCTTCGTCGTCGAACTGCCAGGCTTTGTAAGCATAGAGGAGGCTATGGCAGCAATAACTGTTCTAAAGCAAAAGCCTGAAACAAATGGCATCTTGCACGCGTGTTCCTCAACGTTTCATTTTGGTTGTTTACCTCGAATACGGGGAAAGCGTACGCGCGTGGCGCGTGCGGCGGTGCGAGCGTCGAGTTTTTAATTACATGCACACGAAAAATCCACGGAACCCTAGCCCTAAGCAGCTCCGCTATAAAAGTACGACGTGTGCAGAAAACTTTTTACCTGCTCGTTTTCATTGTGGAAATCGAATTTTTCAAATCTAATCGTATTTTCATCATTCGCTGGAGTTCTTTGATTGTTCGCCATGATTGGCTGTTTCCGTGTTCTTTAGAAAAGTGAACTCACATAGCTTTTTTTTTTAGAGTGCAGGACATTTGCACACTAGGATTATCACGTGTCCATAAGCCACTTGCCGTTCGATCGATATTACTCTCGCCCTCGACACAATACAAGATATTAAATAATATATCGATAAAATATATATATATATATATATATATATATATATATATATATATATATATATATATATATATATATATATATATATATATATATATATATATACATATATATATATATATCTCACAAACCTTCACCGACCTTTTTGGTGTCCTGCAGCAGGTATACCGGAGGGATGGTGGTTTGCCGCAGGAAATTGAGGTTCTTTTATAGAGATGCGATGTCATCAGATTGCCTCTACGGACAACGGAGTGCACGGTGCGTAACTTCTGCATCGGAGTAGAAAATATGCAGTTTTTGCGTAATAAGGATGGACCCGAAGGAGGTCGGAGGCGTTTCGGGAGCCGAGGTCAGTATGTTCGGTCGACCGGGAGGTCCTTGAAAAGCACACACCGCGTACGGCTGCTAATTTATCTTCTTTTTTTTTTTTTTCACGTAAGGAGGTTTTTTTTTTTATATGTAATGATTTCGTATGTCTTTCGGGTTAGTGAAAGTACCCCGTAATACGTGCCGAAAAGGCACCGAACGTATGGAAAGCGTCTATGACGCTCACATATGAGTACTCTTGTGTGCAGCAGTGGCACGTCAAATATTTGCTCAATTATGTATATATTTTATACGTACATTTACTTTTTATACGGTCATGTACTCCGATAGTTACTTTCATCGAACAGTCACGTTGTATTCGCTGTAAATTCGGATGTTTCACGTGTACACGGTGATAGATTCTCACAAAACTTGTGTTTCTCATCCTGTACGCCTCAGACACCTTATTTTGAAGAACCCAAACTTGCCGAGTGGCCATGGGTCCATCTGTTTTCTCAGTAAAGCGTACTATTTGTACCTTGGTAATAATGAAAAAGCGTTGAACTGAACTGAAACTTTTTGCAACCTTATAAGGGCGTCAAATAGCTTGTTCCAGGGCTAACACCCTAAAAATACGGTGCTGGCCCCGGGCTAACGCTGGTTTTTTTTTTTTTTTTTTTTTTTTGTTGGGGTGGGGTGTTATAGTCAGCTGGAGGCCGGACAACTGCCGCTTTCCCCTTATCGTTGTTCCTGCCGAACGCCCAAACATTAGGGTGCTGACAATCATGGTAACATCCAGGGATATGTTTTACCACGGCCGGACTGGAGCGCGCGCTTCCAGTCCGGCCGTGGTTTTACAAGTAACGAATTTACAAGCAAGCATACTTTGCGAAGCGTTTCATGACACAATATGAATATACTTTGACTGTATAACTTTTTTTCGAGAGTTGACTTGCGTGCACAGTATATTGGAGCCATAAGAAGAAAACAAGTATTACTGGGTTTTTGTTTTTTACAGCGGAGCTGTTAAGGGCTAGGTTCCACAGGATCGTGCCCGCTACTAAACAAATGTCGGCACAAACCCACACAAAGCTCTGGACAGCTACCGCCATCTATAAGCGACGGCGGCAACCAGACAACCAGTCTGGTTGCCACCGTCGTTCAGAAATGGCGGACACCTTTCCAGCTATCATAGAAGAATACGTAGTTGGGCGAGTTGGTGGAAATTCATCGTAAGAAACAGCGCGAAAAACAGACAAGGACGAAGAAGCACACGTGAGGAGCGCAGCGCACGTCACGTGTTTCTTCTTCGTCCTCGTCTGTTTTGCGCGCTGTTTCCAACGTTCTTATCAGTTTCGGTTTGGACTCACGATAGGTCGGCTGCGTGCCCTTTCTTCGGCGAAAGAAGACCGGGTGCGGAAGGAGTGGCGACGTACGCAGCAGCGCGAATGGGTCCACAATCGCCGCGAACCCGCTGTCGCCTCGAATTCCACTGCGTCAAGCGCTTCAGATTATCTGGCGAAAGGACAGCACATCGACGCCTGGAAAGCCGCCGCCAAGAACAGAAGCTACAGCTCCGCTGCTTTTCCTTCTTCACCAAAGTGAAAAGGCTGAACTTTTTTTTTTTCGTTTATTGACTACGGGTTCAACTCGTATGGTCTCTAAAGTTACGTATATTTGATAAATTGTATGCTTTTATCTACAGCGAACTTAGAAACTCATGATATTCGGGACAATTCTCACTATTGTTGTTGCGGTGAAGGAAGTGAAGAACATAGGATTGTTGGCACATTGTTTATTTGAAAGCACATAATGTCGTCGATGAGCGCAGTATGAAGGTATATAGTTATGAGAAGATATGACGATGATACTTTCGAGAACAACACGAAGTGTGACCGCAGCGATGTTCCGCACAGGAATTCTATACAATAGCGTCTTTACTCTTTTTTTTTGCCATTGTAGAATATGCATGGACTACAAACGATACACTTTATTCACTTCGTCGAAAGTTTCAGTGAGCACCAGGCAAACTGAAGAGCAGCGGGTTCCAGCGACTTCGCAGCAAGCCTTACATGTGTTGAATAAAAATGACAACTTATTTGTAAAACAATATAATAATGTATCTTCCGCGTATAGCTCGAAGGCTGATGCTCCTGAATCATGTTCCAGGTAAAAAATTCGTCCGATTTGGCACCAAACTTCGCTAAGCCTTCCCCCAGATTACATGATGATTTGATTACAGGAGCAAGCCCGGCGACGTTATCAACGTTCCGGCCACTTTGAATGGTTATATGTTGAGCAAAGGTGTTTTCATGCGCCATTCATAATAACAATGCCCTATATAGTCTAGAACTGGAAGAATCAATTCAACCACAAGTGACAATGAACATGCGCCCTTTTAAAAGCTTGTTCAATCCCAGCTCTGTTGCGCTTTGGTCGCGTGCGCAGCACACCCAATGTATTACCAGACATCTCCCTTCGCAAAAAGGTTGCGGCACTTAGAACGATAACGCTAATCTCGGTCTTCGAAAAGATGACTTCACAACACCTTGGAGATCATTAGCAGGTTTCTGCTGTCGACATATGTGAGAAAGGAATCGCGCCGAGCGATTCATTTCTTCACCAGCCATATCTCGTTCCGGCGCTCGAGTACCCAGAAGACCAGGTCGTAGCGGGCCACGTAGTAGTGGTCGGTCAGCACCCTGCTGTCCTTCCGCATCTTCTGGATGAAGCCCTCCGCCTGACGAAGCCAGTCCTGCTCGGTGGGCGTTCCGCCGAACACCCTGAAGTTAGGAGAGGCCACAGTGAGCATCGGGTGTGTGACGTCACAGCAGCACTTTACCGTCGCGAAAAAACAGTAAAGAGGCGGAAGAGCTCCAACTGTACCCAGAAAGGCGTGCCCTGTATTACATACGGCGTAAGAATGAGGAGTTCTGTGCTATAAGCAACTATTCATATGTGCCAGCTGTCTGGCATGGATACTGTTACCTGGGAGACAAGTAAGTAGTTCTGCGTTTTGTTCAGTGTGTACCACGAAGGATGCCTCTATACCAAGAAAGTGATACGTTACTTTCCACGCTTTGTTATCTGCGTGCGGTGTTGAGCTACTTCATTATTACGTTTCCGGTTCTCGAAATATTTTGGGATGAGTCACACAGCTGTATGGTTTGCCTCTTCGAGGTACAGTGCTCCCCAAACTTTGCGCCGCCACAAGATGGTTCGTTTTGAGCTATTCCCATGCATACAGCTCAAACTACGTGGTGAGGCTTTAACTCCCCGATTACAACTCAACCTGAGAAAGCCATTACAGCTGCTGCCATGATCAGTTTAGCTTCGAGTAGCCTGCAATATATCAATATTTGGGTAACCTTGTGGTGCTTCAAGTTATGGAGAACTGCGCGTTACATTCCTTTGCATAAACCGTAAACAAACGTTTTTCTTTCTTTCTTTTTTTCTTCTACCTCACAATTTATTAACTTCGGAAGGTCATCAGCAGTGATGTTTGTTTTCTCGTACCAGTCCCCACCCTGATTGATTGTGTCCTCCGAGAAGATGCCAAACTTTAGATAACTCGTCCTATATCCTAGCATTTTCATCGCGAGGGCATACGAGTGCATCACATTCGAGCCTGGTATATATGTGGCAGCGCTCACTTGACGATGTACTTCCTGGGAGGCTCGATTTGGATGAAGACCTCCTTGTCGAGCGCCCTGGGAGGGTTGCCGTACAGGTTGTTGGGCAGCGGGAAGGCCATCGTGTAGTTGGACAGGCTCCGACTGCTCATCACGCGAGACACCCGGGTGCGGTGAGGCGTCGTCAGGTCCACCGTCACGTCTGCAACATGGCGCGTTCCATGCAGTTTACTTGCGAATTTTTCCGAAGTTTGCCACTTGTCCTTAGTCAATCGCAGCTTAAAAAAACGCAGGGTTTACGATGTTCACGCTTCTCGCTTCGTGATTGGTTTTTCGGTACTCTTATCGGCTAATGCCGCATTTTGATTGGCTACGAAGTCAGAGGTACTATCCGGAGCGCAAGTTCGTCTGCTTCCTGCACAGGGGTTGCAGCGACGTCAGAAGGCCGAGCTCCGATTGGCTCTGTTGGAAGAATAGTGGGCAGACCTCATCGCTATAGCTGCCTTGTGGTATAACCACTATCCTTCCAATCAGAGCCAATCAGAGCTCCGCATTCTGACGTCACTGCAACCCCCTGTGCAAGACGCAGACGAACTTGCGCTCCGTATAGTTATGCCGTTTCCCAATCAATCATGCTCAGCTCACTTGGCACCGTCTTGGCCATACCCAATCTTCAAAGTTACAAGTGTGCGCTTAGTCTGCTGACTGTTAGGCGCCTTTAGGACTCTTTTCTCCACTTTTATTTGCACTCTATTTTCTTAAGCAAGAATCGGAAATATTTCCCCCAATGAGTATTCCTTCACAATCGTTACGATGAACAAGCGGTCTTTTCAAATCCGCTGCAACGTCTTACTGTTATAAGATTAAGAAATCAAAATGAGTCCTCTGTACCTTTTGTATTAACCTATACATCTTGCAGACGGGCCCCTAAAATGTCATTTACGCCAAAGGAGATTCAGTGTAAATGCTATTTTGTAAATGGAATTAGGGCGAAATAAGTGCCATTTAGCCCGAATGCTCTGTGAGTTTCCCTGTGGCACTGACTAAATGGCATTTACAACAAAGGTCCTTCGGGTTAAATGAGATTTTAGTTGCCCGTCTGACAGATGTACAAATACGCCATTCCCTCGACTTGTCATGTAATCTAAACTTCGATAAACGAAAAACAAATCCTAATACAGGAAATATCGGTTGATTTTGGCATCAAACTCTTCGAGGTCGGGAACCCTGTCTCACTTTGGTCGTTGAAGGCCTGGATGTAGTATATGAGCTTGCGGAAGCTCCTCCTCTTGGCGTCGTAGAGAGACGTGGCCTGCGTCGTCACGCTGATCCACATGGTCTCGGGATATTGACGCTCTTCGTATTCCTGAGAACGACGGGCGATAAGGAAGACTTATCAGTCTCGTCGCTCGAACACAAGGTTGCAGTTCAGCATTTTAAAGCAAGAAGCGCTTTTGAATCGAGTCCCTTATCCCTGGTATTTGTCCGTCCATCCGTCCACGCGTTTGCCCGCTAAATTTTCTGGGGAAATTGACGTCACGTGACGTCACGGTATGACGTGGCACAACGACTTAAAACTGTGACATCAATGTCCCAGCTAAATTGAGCCGTGAAAGTTGACGTCATGTGACTTCACGTCGTGTCGTCACTGCGCCAAGTCCTGCTGTCACATGATACAATAAAGTCACATGCTGGCAGGTTAGATGACGCCAATTTTCCCACTAAATTTAGCGGGGAAATCAATAAAGAACACTCTACGAAACGACTTTTACACGACTTCTGGACAAATTTAAGCGATTCTAAATAATTAATTTGACGCATTCTAGAACTTCGAAGATAAAGGCCCCTGGTAATTTTCCCCCCGAAAAACACTCCGAGTTACTATTTTTTTTTAATTATAAATGTATAAAAATTGTAGTCCTTAATATATCTTTCCTTGCTACCGCAGCCCCGCTTGTTTATCTAGCAGTAAATGAACTCTCAACTGCGCACACCACTGTTGCGACTATTTCATTATTAACCCACTCAAACGACCTCAGAGGTCGTATATAATACGAAATTATACCAAGTAACCATATCAGGCATAGTAAACATAATCTGCCCCCCCCCCCCCCCCCAAAAAAAAGAGCACGTGTTACAAAAAATAAATTGTGTAAGCGTGATCTCGATAAACAAGGCATCGCAGTTCTTTCTGCCGTGCAAAGTAAAGCATGCTTTGATGGTTTTATAATTACTTGAGTGAGGCTTCCAACTGGTGTTTGACCAGGAATTAGAACGGCGTTACGATGGGATAGTTTAATAAATTGTACAACATGTGCTAAATCACTTAAGGTAAACACAAAAACGAACTACTTACGGCTTCATTTGACAGGATTTCGTAGTCTATACACTCAACGCCTCTCCATGTGCAGCTGTACGCGGATGCAATCTGGAAATATTTTAGTAAAGAAATATATGGCTTAATTGACGATTCTAGCAAAACAGAAGATTATAAAAAAAAACAGGTGTATAGCACAAGAAGTAAGAGAAAAAAGCAATATAAGTGTTGTTTACATTTTAATAAGTAAATAATTCCAGAAGACAAGAATACTTGCAATCGAAGTTTATTGTGACGCTCTGACAAACGCACGTAAAAACCTCCTAATGAGATATAGTATGAAATTCTTAGCTCACTAAAATATTTCTTCAGATATTACTATAAAACCAATTTGATAACCAATTTGATAAAATAAAAGTACCTTGAGAAATCGATAAATATATACTAATAACTCTAAACAAACAGGAATACAAACCATGGTTTCGTAATAATATCACTGGGACGATACTTGATTCCAACGTGCACATACATAGACCACCCAATTCTAAATTTCTAAATACGAATAACCGTAATTATTGCGCTACAAATGTAATAGTGATGCTCTTTCGTACGCAGAGTGTGGCAGATAGACTTCATTCTTTTATTTGTACTTCTTTTTCTTAAGAACAATACAAAAATATATATTGAAATGTATTTTCTTTTTGCTTTTAAACGTATTCTATCTGCAACCCGATTGTACGAAAACAACATTGAAACGGTAAATGTGTACGCGGTGTCTAATACATTCATGTCAGGCCAATGCGACAGTGAACAGAAGGATAAATAAATGAAAACGCGCGTGTAATGGAGTGAGCTCACCTGAAAAGTCGCCGACACCAAGAGAACAGCAGCCAGGACACGCATCTTCGGTTCCTGTTTTTTTGTTTTCGCTGAAGAAAATTGGCGCCGTAGGCAGTTGCGTAATTGGGACTTTGCTCTAATAAGTTATAATCGACCAATCTAGCTTGAATAACCTGGCGTCCTACTCTACTTACGTAACCCTCGCAAAATTAAGAAAGGATTCCATACAAAAAAAAAAAAAAACTAATTATAGTAGACTACCTCTGGGTGCCTTCCTTTTCAAGACCTAACGAAGAGTGATTACAAAGAGAATATTTATAAAGCTAAAAAAAAACGAACGATATAAAAAAGTGACAGTATACGTGGTCAGACACGAAACGCCAACAGCGACTCACCACGTTTATTCTACCGTTTAACAGCACTGGCAGTTGAACGCCCTATCCTGACTATAAATTTTGTTTGTTATGGTGACAGCTTTTGTTTTGTTCATCGAATGAGTTAGTTGACTCATTGACCTACTGACCGTGAGTAGTTCTTGCTGATGACATTTAGCGGGGATAATAGCTCCGTGCTTAAAGTTACTGTTATAAAGCAGCAAAAGTAGCCCTTTTGTTTTCTCTCTTCTAATCTAAGCAGTGCTAAAATTTAGATAGGGGCGAAGGGAAAATACAGTAATACACCCTGAGCGTCAAGTAAAGCTTTTAGTAGAAAAGTACTGACACAAAATGCACTAACAAATACTGTGTTATGTTCTCAAGGGGAGCATGGGGAGAATGACACTTTTCATGGTCATCCGTGAATCGGCAGGATGCAGGAAATCAGGTTCCTTCTTTCTGTAGCGGAATCGTCTGAGTGTTCACGCACTTGTTTGTCACTGCCACGCTCTTTCCTTTTTTTTCTTCTTTCTTCCTTGTTTGTTTATGTAACGTGCAAGCGAAGACATAGACTTACTCCCACAGATATATCACTCTCCCTGTTGACCAGTAGCCATGAGGTCTGCGTCCTGCTAGCCTTGTCTTCAATCTTTTTTTTTTTTTTTTTTTTTTTTTTAATTCAGCCGAAGGAATATGTAGTTGTATTTGAGCAAGCTTATGCTTTAATCGTAAGAAAACAATACGCCTCGTTCTGGGTGGGAAGGACAGGTTAAATTGCGCTAAATGATTTCGAGATGCTAGCAAGAGCTTACAAAATCTAAATGAGTAGCCTTTACATTACGTTGACTTTTATTATCTCAATATTATGCGTTGCACTATTTTGTTATGAGCAATGCTGCAGCCTCGCAAAACAGTCACTCCACGCCATTCTGATTTAGTTACTTTTGTAACTTAAGCGTAAAAGAACCTAGAACCAAGAACAACAATAAAAAACCCAAAAGAAAAGACAGTGAAAGAAAGATTGTGTGGGAAAAGTTACGGTGTGGGTCAGACGTTAAGCATGCACTGATTTTAAGAGAAGTGCATCGATTGAACTGTTTACATCACCGCATTCTCCCGATGACCGTTGACCGAACATCATTGGTCTCATTGTCCGTGAAACAACAACCGACGGTCAGCCACCGACAGGGCAGCGGGGACGCGCTTCACGCCGAAAAGTAAACAAACGATTGCTCACCGCGCGTCCTTCAGAGGCAGAGTGGTACTTGTAACGGTTCCTCGGGTGCTCAGACGGGACCGGCTCTTTATAGGAGACCCACCCCCTCTCCCCTCGCGGAAGAGCAGAGCCCCGGTGACCGAGCAGCCGTGGAGGGGGACGGGAGGGGGGAGCCGTGATCCTCGGCCCGCAGGAAAACCGGCTGACCCCCCCGAACAACTGGTCCTGCCGAATCTCTCCTCCGCCCAACACAGGGAGAGCCCCGACCGATTCTATCGAGCGGCCATGTTTTCTCTCTCGGCTGCGAGGTCGATGCACCGCGGCGAGCCACAGGACGGAGGCACTGGAGCAGTCCTGACCTTGAACTTGGTCAAAGAAGAGGCTTGCGGTGCGAAAAGGGTTTTGTTGCGGAGGTCGGAGGAGTTCCAGGAGACGCCACGCCATGAGTGACGTCATCGCGGACGCCGTGAAGTTAACTGAGGGTTCCTCGCGATGGGTTCGAGAGTCTGCGGGACCTTGTATGGTCGGCGCCGGAAGAAGTGATTTTGGTGTAGGACCGTGGTCAAACACCGCACAAAAGACAGTGTGCAGACGCTGTCTGAGGTGTGCTGCTTTCTTGTATGACGGTGCTGTCAAATTAGTCGCACCAAAACTGTCTGCAGATATGTTTAAAGCGTACACATCTATGAAGCAAACATGCTTCGAAGATGCTTCAGGCGTGTGCGCAGATAATTTTGTCTTCGTGTCTGCGGAGAGACTCCGCGTCATTTGTACGATGCATGAGCAGTCTAATTTGCGGCCTTATGCGATACAAGGCTCCAAAGTAGGGGAGGAAGCACAATTTGCCGCAAGGGCATATACCCAAAATGAAAATAAATAAAGTGCCTTAACAAAAAAAAAAGCTGAAAAAAATTGCTAGATTTAATTTTGAAGACTATGGAGTTGGGTATATCCTTCTGCCACCTTCAGCGCTTTTGCGACCTTCCGCGCACTACAATTACAGATGTTACCTCATTTAAAATTGTCAAAATTTGCCTCTCTGCCATACGCGCAGTCAAAACTATTGGGGGGGCGTACGTGCACTTGAGCGGCCACCAACGCTGCGCACGCTCACTTTTCACTTCGGAAATGCCACAGAAAATTACATTAGGAAAAACAGTAAAACTTACGAAGAAAGTTCCAGGAACTGGATTCACTATTTAAAGACACTGAAGGTATTAGATTTGAAAGCGGCTCTCGTGTCCGTGGTCGACACGTTCATGCTGGAGTCATTCAGTGACTTCAGTCTCTTATTTATTTTCCGTGAAAGTGTTATTGTATATATATACATATGCTCTCTCTTCTCCCTTTCCGACTGAGAATCTCGGTCATGCTGTAACCCTATTCACCTTGAAGTCACGCTTGAACAAGTATCCCCCTCCGAAACGTCCGATTAGACTGTCCAAGTTTGTTTGAACCTCAGTGGCTTTTTTACATATATGCTAGGTGTTATAGTTTAGTTCGAACCGATTTATTAGAAACAAAAAACATAGAAGATGCACTAATACAGTCTGGGCAGGTGAGTTATACGGCCAAGGGGACATTATGTGGGTGGCTAATCTTTGCGATCAGTCAGATAATTAACTAAGCGTCTTTAATTACCTTTTATTTAGGAAATTAATTTAATAGTCCTAATTAGAAATATGATGATCATAATCTAAAACTACTATATCACTACATTTTAGAACGACTTGAAGCTCGTGGGAAACTCGGAGGCGCACCAAATGTTCTACTAGTGCGGCAGGCGCAAAGCAAGCAGTGGGAAAACGCGGATGTGTGTGTGTTTGTGCGTATGCGTCTGCGTGTGCTTGTGTTCTCATGTCAGCTCATTTCTGCCTTTTTATCGCCTTTAGTTATTTAGGTTCTCCGGTATTTTAAATACCCGAAGGGACCATAGAGACAAAGTCGTATAGAGATAAGTGGAAGGGAGCACCTGCATAACGAACTTGACGTTTCCCCTATCCTTCCTGGGTATTTAATATGCGCGAAAGCTCGCGCGGCAGATACCGGAACTCTAGAGCCACTAAATAAGCTGCGCTTAGAGTATCGGCACTCCGTTGCCCGACATTGTTGTGGGCGCCGCCATTTTGGCTCGTATGCAGAGCAGACGCAACGGCCGATCGTCATGATTCAAAAGTGCGACTTCCTCAGCATTAGATTCGGTGTTAAGAAGGTAATGTAATATTGCTTTGCTCTGTCGCGAAAGGTTTAAACATTTGTGGAGGGCGGAAAAGCATTTCCTGTGATTTCAGATAAAGCTTCAGATAACTGGCAACCATGATTTTAAGCCACAATATGGCCAAGTGTCGTTACTCTGAAGCGTAGCTTATTTAGTGGCACTACGGAACTCCTTAGACCGTTAAGCGAAAGCTCACGCGCGCTGCTGAGCAGATCCTTCGTCCGATCCCCATCCTAGTGGCTCTACCCATAGCCTCCTCTGTACTCACAAAGCCTGGCAGTTCGACGACGGAGCCATAGAGTGCCCGGTCGCAGATTTGGAGCGCGAGGATCTGGTAGCACAGAGCATTTATGGTATTCAGCGGAGCGCACAGCTTTTGCAGCGGCGTGTACCCGAAACATAGTTTTCAACCCCGACGAAAAAAGAAGCGGTAGCGCGAGGAACGCGAAGAGGACGAGCGGACATTCCATCGCTCGGAAGAAGCGTGTTTCGGCGTCTCGCCGCAGCGGGGCGCCCGTCACGTGGCTCTCTTCTCATCCGTTGTCTGCCGCTTTACCTTTTCAATTTCGGCGGCCGTGTCTCGTGGCGATCTGCCAGGCTTTGTCAGTATAGAGGAGGTGATGCTCTACCCCATCCCAGCCAGTTTCGACCAGGGGCCCTAAGCTTGGCACTCGGCGACAAAGTTGGCAAGATTTCTGACTCCCGGGATTGACCAGCCCCAAGGCCAAGCGCGACGCTGGTCAATCGCGGCGGTCACAAAATCTCGTCAACATTCGCGCCAAGTGTCCCCCTTAGGGCCTCAGGATGAGAATCGCACCGTCGTCTGGTTGTGCATTACCACTGTGTGATGCAAGTTAAATGCCCCAGAATAGAAGTCATACTGCACTGGCTAAAGTTTTTTATCTACAATGTGTAACGGTGTAGATTAACGGCTCACGCTCTCTAATACCTAACGTATAATTAGGAAGTTTTATAATAAAGGTCCCCCACGCTTTGAGTCCCCCAAAGCGCTTGCGGCGTCTCACTGCGTACGCTTATAGTGTTTGAGGAACCCAAGGCCCTAGGGCCCCCTATTCTTAAACGCTCTATTTAAGGGACGTGCAACGTTATTAGGTTGGCGTTTTTCATTTTACACAAGTTTACTGGTATTAGTGTAACACAAACATACTTGCGCACAACGCCACTAACCAAGAAGCGTCTCAAGGTTACAAGGATAGAAGCATCTTTTAAAGCGGTACCTTTAGGGGGCCAACCA